CAGCATCAGGCGCCGCCCGCTCGCGCGCCTGAAGAACCGCGCCGCGGTGCGCAGCGGCGGCGAGGCGCGGCGGCTCCGGTGGAGGAACGGCGCTGAGGGAGGGCTTGGGTTTTGCATTTGGTGAATCTGGGAATTGGGATCTTTGAATGAATGAATGAATGAATGGCTTCGTTTGTTTGGGTGTGAGACTCTTTTGTTTGGTTTCTGACTTTTCTCTATTTGATTTGAATGACGTCAAATAAATAATAAATTCAAATAATTAAGATAATTGAGGCTTTCAACTTTCAACTTTGTAGTTTGAATTGATTGAGATTCCATTTTTTTATTATTATTATTTCTTTGGAATAGTTTTGAATTTTGGCAAGTAAAGAGAGACAGACACAAAAAGAAAAAAGGGTTTGATTAGGATTTTCTGCATTTAAGGGAGAAAGCCGTTTAAATTGCGATACTTGATAGGTTGACTCATAAAGGAGGTTTAATCATAGTTTTAATTTTATATTAATATTAATTGCTGTCATTAAATATCTTTCAAGAATTTTATGATCTGTATTATTGATAAATAAAATTGACCTATAAATATTCAAAGCATATTAATTCAATGTTGATAAATATATAATAACTATCTTTTAAATTTTATATCTAAAATTTGACTGTGTTATATTTAATAAATATAGCTTTTAAATTCGGACAGTCAAGTTTACATATAATAAAGTATTTTTATATTATCATTCAATTGCAAATTTGTATGTATGAAAACTTTGTTTATTTTTATAAGAATCATCTTAAGAGAATGTTATCATTAAAAACTTAATTTTTAAGAGAATGTTTAATATAGTTTTATTTTTAATTTAATTGAAACTTGAAATTGATAGACATGACAATACCAATTGATTTACTTTACCTCATCAATATTTTTTTCATGCTTAAAAATAACAAAGTTAATCATGATTCTTATGAATGAATAGTATTTATTTAATTGATCAAAAATATTATTAGAAATATTTATACAAATAGTGTTAACAATACATTATTTAACATATTTATTTAATGAACATTAAAATTAAAATTCATTAAAAATTGTAAAAACAGTGATAGAAACTCATTTGATAGGTTGTGAAATAAAATTTATCAAATATACATTAATATAACATATATAATGATGATAACTAGATTATATATATATATATATATAATTATAAATATTATTATAAATTCAAGATTTAAATTTAATATTTTAAAATTTGAGAATTAAATTAAATATCGTTAATCCAATAAATATTAATAATTTTTAAATATTTTTATTAAATAAAATATAAAAATATGAAGTGTCACCCATTTATACATAAAGTAATACCCTTGTTTTATATCCGCGAGAAAGCCGTTTAAATTGCGATACTTGATAGGTTGACTCATAAAGGAGGTTTAATCATAGTTTTAATTTTATATTAATATTAATTGCTGTCATTAAATATCTTTCAAGAATTTTATGATCTGTATTATTGATAAATAAAATTGACCTATAAATATTCAAAGCATATTAATTCAATGTTGATAAATATATAATAACTATCTTTTAAATTTTATATCTAAAATTTGACTGTGTTATATTTAATAAATATAGCTTTTAAATTCGGACAGTCAAGTTTACATATAATAAAGTATTTTTATATTATCATTCAATTGCAAATTTGTATGTATGAAAACTTTGTTTATTTTTATAAGAATCATCTTAAGAGAATGTTATCATTAAAAACTTAATTTTTAAGAGAATGTTTAATATAGTTTTATTTTTAATTTAATTGAAACTTGAAATTGATAGACATGACAATACCAATTGATTTACTTTACCTCATCAATATTTTTTTCATGCTTAAAAATAACAAAGTTAATCATGATTCTTATGAATGAATAGTATTTATTTAATTGATCAAAAATATTATTAGAAATATTTATACAAATAGTGTTAACAATACATTATTTAACATATTTATTTAATGAACATTAAAATTAAAATTCATTAAAAATTGTAAAAACAGTGATAGAAACTCATTTGATAGGTTGTGAAATAAAATTTATCAAATATACATTAATATAACATATATAATGATGATAACTAGATTATATATATATATATATATAATTATAAATATTATTATAAATTCAAGATTTAAATTTAATATTTTAAAATTTGAGAATTAAATTAAATATCGTTAATCCAATAAATATTAATAATTTTTAAATATTTTTATTAAATAAAATATAAAAATATGAAGTGTCACCCATTTATACATAAAGTAATACCCTTGTTTTATATCCGCATTTATTTAACATGTTTATCCTTTAGAAAACATATTATAATCAATATAAAAATAAATAATTGTCAAATAAGTTAAACAAATATAAAATAATTGTACACTTTAAAATTTTTAAAATTTGACCAGGAAAGACACTTTTGAAAACATGCAACTGTCATGAATTTTCAAATTATTATCTCTATATTTTTTAATAATCACTTATTATTATATAATTTTTATTATTCATTATTTTTTATGGAGACACGAAATAATTTTGTACGTTAATTTTAATAAAGAAAAAGCTTGACAATTCATATTACGACACTTCAACAAAAATACACATTGAATAGTTTTTAGAAAATAACTCTCAATTTGCGACAAATATATTAAGAGATTAAGCAAAACTTTAAATAGATGATGAAATGTTGTTAAACAATTTATTTAGATACAAGTTTGGAAAGAATTTTTTCTATTAAAAATAAAGAGTTTTAATTTTTAATTTATATTAAAAAAATTGTTCTAAAAAATTGTTTTTTTTTTAATTTAGAATTTATAAAGAAAGTAAATAACCTTTTCCACGCGTGATCTCAATTCATTGATCGGGAAATGGACTCGTTGGGAACAAAGAACTGAAAAACTTTGGTTTTCGTTGGTTGCCTGTGAGCATGAGCTTACACTGCGAATCTTTAAAAACTTTGAAATCTATGTTTCATGACAATGATATTTCTTAAATGTATATATATTCCATCAGTTCCATTATAACTATAGTGGTTTAAAAAAATATGTTTTAAAATAAATATTATATTCCCCTCAAAAACATAAATATTATATTAATTTTTTAATATAGTGTTATATTTTATTTATACTCTTCATAATATTTTTTTAGAGAATAATTTTGTGTTGCATCATTTGTAGAAAATGAGATTAATTATAAAGTTAATTTTGTAAAATTATTATTTTTTCAGTCTTTATTATAAAGTCCAAATGACTAATTCATCAAAATTAAGAAAATTTATTTATTTTTGTTAAGATCAATAAATATGTCTTAAATTTTTTATTCTTTTCAAAAATACCCCTAAATTAATGAGACACTGGATATATGTTTTCAAAGTTTTTACATTCCAAAAATAAAAATAGAAAACTATTTATATTTTAAATATATATATATATATATATATTAAATGAATTTCACTTATTTGTTAAATTCAAAAATGTATTTAACAAAAATATATTTGTGAAGTAAAAATTAATGTTTTCAACGTAATGAATTGAGTCTCATAAAATGATCAAACTAATTTGAAATTTTGGATCTATCATAAGGATAGGAGAAATATTTTCTTTAATTTATTTATTAATTATTTTTATCTACGTAAAAAGAATTTGTTGAGAAAAAATAATCTCTTAAATGATTCTAATATATCCAAATATTAGTCTCCTTTTTAAAACATTGAATCTTTTTGGTACATCCAATTATTAGTCTCTAGCTCTTAATTAAAATAAATAAATAGAAGACAGAGAGAGAACGTGGAGCGTGAACTTTTGAATGCTACGAAACAGTTTTACACTTTATTATGCAGTTGGTAGCTGTCATGAACAGAGTATTTTATTTATGTTATGTAATAATAATGTGGTTCAATAATTAAACTGAGAATTCTTTACTTGGTCTACTTATATATATATATATTTCCCTGGTTTGCTTATACAGAATAACCCTTCAAAACATGCCCAAGTACTTATGTATATTTTTTTATTGAAAGTTTTTTGTATAATCTTTTTATAGTTAAATTAAAATTAAAAAATATTCATGAAATGAAATAATTGATAAAATGAAGAAAATATAAAAATATTTTAATGATATTTTAATTTTGTTTTAATGGAGTAGTTAACAAAATTTCTTTGCTACACTTGCTTATTATAAGTAGATGCAACATTGTACGTTTTTATTAATATTGTTGATTTTATTAATTTATATGTTTTTGTGATTAGTTGATTTATTGTTGTGGATCTTTAAAGATTTTAAAATCCTAATGAGTTATGTTGTTTTTAAAATTATTCTAAGCAAAGGTCAAGTTGACTAGTCCGAGGAGGATATATAAGATTTTATTTAAGACTTAGTTTCACAAGTTCCTTTCTTAAAAATGTTAAAGAGAAGTTAGAAAGAGGAACTCTAGGACGAGAATTCTTCCTTCTTCTTCTTCTTCTGAATGGACTAGATATAGTTCTAGAACCCTTCCTGGAGTTTTGTTGGTTGTGTATGTAGTGATTCGAAGCCTCTAAAGCTGAGAATCGAAGACCTCAGAGGATTAGTGCAAAGTTCTTTGAAAAGTCTCAATCTTCTTCTTCTTCTTTTTCTTCCTCTATTTTGGACAACCAAAGGTAAGGGAAGATTGTATGTTGATTTTGTGGTGAAGTATAAGTTGTATATTGCTTCATCAAATTAGTTGTTGTTTTGATGATTAGGAGATGAAATAATCATGTGAGTTTTTGGTTTTTTGAACCTTATTGAGGAGAAGGTTGGTGTCTTGATCATATAATTATTACATGTTGTTCTAGTTGGAATTGGAGTGTTTATTTAGTGTATTTATGATTTCTGGTGTTACATGTTGGATTTTCCTGAGTTTCAACTATAGAGAGCTAAAAATGTGAATCTACCAAATACATAATTTATCATTACACCAAATGCAATTTCCTGGTGTTGGGTGTGATGTAGATTTGAGGCTTTCTAACTTACTAATTTTGGGCACAAGATTGGTAGCATTAGGTGTGAGTTAAAGGATAGTTCTTTGACTTGGTCACATGGGACGTGGTTTAAGGGGTGTTGGGTGTGGATGCTTTTAGAGTTCTCTAACTTGGTGACACCTAGCTCTAGTTGCATCAGGCATGATCAAGATAGAAGCTTTT